GGCAGTCGCGGGGATGTAATGGTTCTAGCCTCTAGTAATGTCCCTCAGGATGCACTCGATCCTGCTCTAATCCGGCCTGGACGTTTTGATCGAATTATACACGTGGATTCACCGGTTATATCAGAGAGAATCGATATTTTCAAGGTTCATTTGAGCAAGCTTAAGTTGGTGCCAGACACTGGGACTGAAGCGGCGACAGGGGAGAATGGAAACGTAAATACCACTTTAGAAGTCCAAAACAAAAAAGATTCTGTCAAACCTAATCTGAATGAGGACGAATCCTCTCAGAAATGTCAAAATGCAGAGATATCATCTCCGCGAGACGATGGGACCGCGGCGACTTCAAAGGAAACCCATCTCGCTATCGCCAGCGTGAAGGGTGAACAAGCTGGGGGAGCAGATCCTCTTGGTGATCCAAATGCTATTGACTTCTCCTTTGACTTCCGTTCAATTCTTTGCGATAAATCTGAGAAGGAGTGTGCCTTAATTAACGCCTACGCTAAACGCATGAGTGATCTCTGCCCTGGGTTTGTGGGCTCTGACATTGCCAATGTGTGCAACGAAGCCGCCATCTTGGCTTCCCGTGAGAACTGCACACACGTGGAGCTTTCCCACCTCGAGCGATCCATCGACCGCGTTCTCGCCGGAATCGAGCACCGAAGTCGGGTGCTTTCTTCTTTCGAAAAGAATGTTGTAGCCCACCACGAGGCCGGGCATGCAGTGGCGGGTTGGTTTCTCAACCGCGCGGACCCTCTGATGAAGGTTTCCATCGTCCCACGTGGGGGCTCCGCGCTTGGCTATGCGCAATACCTGCCGAATGAAAACAGCGTCCGAACGGCGAAGGAGATACGTGATTCGTTATGCGTTACTCTTGGTGGCCGTGCCGCCGAGGAGATCTTTTTCAAGCATTTATCCACCGGCGCTTCTGATGACCTGCGTAAGGTGGCAAAACTTGCCTACATGTACGTGGCGTCGTTTTCGGCAGGTTCCGTTTACCCCTCACCAGGTACTTCAAGTACTCGAATCACGAAGCCGTTTGGAAGAAAGAAGTCTGATGCTTACGATAAACAGGCAAAGCAGCTTGTAGAAGAGGTTTACCAAGAGACGTACAATCTGCTCTTAAAACATAAAGCTGACATGGAGAAGCTTGCGCAACATTTGCTCACCAATGAGTTGTTAACCCACCAAGATGTGATGAACTACTTAGGTGAACGCCCAGCACGCTCAAGTGATAAGATGAAAGGAGTTTAAAAGTACTATTGTCATTACAATCATTATTAATCCTGGTGTTGAAACGAATTTTAGTGTTGAGAGCCAGGTGGATTGAAGGATAGTATGTTTGGCCCTTTTTTGTTGTTATCGGGAGTGGGATACGCCTTGAGAAGTTCATCGGTATATATGCTTATTTGCTTTATAATACGTTAATTTTTGGATAAAACCACTTTGCTCTTGTATTAATTTTCCGCTATCTCGAGCAAAGGTAGTCCAAAGAACTTGAATACATTTAGAATAAGGCGCTTTGTATTTAACTATGATGGTACCCTTTTACCCTGCCGATACGTGTGTGTGTGCTTTTGATCTACGTCCTATGCTTTATTCTTCCCTTTTCAGTTTTATTTTTTGAGACGGCTTGTGTGTTGGCCTCTTTCTCTTTTTTTTTTAAAAAAAGCAACACCATTCGGCGCTTTACCGAATAGGTTTTGACGAGTAAGCGAGCGAGTGCTTTCCAAGTTGACCCCGCGTTACAGCCCTTTCCCGTGGCTCCGTTTGTTACTGTGCGGGCCTGTATTCATCCCAAGACGCGCAACCCCTGTTAAGCCCTGATTGCCTTAAGGGGGCCCCCTTTTGTTACGGATGTCCGGGAGCCGGGCCCTACTTCGGGTTCGCGTGTGTGCGTTGCAGGTCCTCCCGTGGTCCGGCCCCAGCTCCCGTTACTACTACCCCCCCCCTCCTTCCCCCCCGGCGGAGGGGG